ATGAGTATAGACAAATAAGGATTTGAGCACATTAGCAACTTCAAATAACATTTTGGATTTTTCGATACTCCTTTTGTAAGTGGTTCCTAATACTCAACTGAATAAGTGTGATGCCCATTGAAAGTGTTTTAATACTCATAATAAGTTTGATGCACATTAAAATTTCATTAATGCTCATTTAACAGAAATTGTGATTTTTATCTCAACAGAGAAGGTTTGATGCTCATTGAAAATTTCGTTATGTCAAACTAACAAACTTTACGAGTTTCATATCAATTAACATTTTGTAAGTTACGTATGCTTATTTTGTATTGATGTTATGCTCGTTTTAAAATGTCATATCAATGCATATTTCAAAAGTATCATATTACACTAAATTCACATATTGAAATTCATAAGAATGTATTATAGATATAATTTAATAAGTTTTTATAAAAGAAAAAAATAAGAAAAAGAACAAAAATTAGAAGATATGAAGTTGAGATCATGTTTCTCATTGTTAGCCTCGTAATACTCAATAAAATAGGTTGGATGCTCACTAAACGTACAATATTGCTCATTTAACGGAAACCGTGAATTTTCGCTTAAATTACAAATATGCCACCGAATTTTTTTTGGCCTGTATTAGTGGTTGGGCCGTCTTTCGTACTTGGGCCGGGTGTACGTACACCCGGATGCACTATATACGAACTGGGGGTAGCAACCATGTAGTACGACATTCTATTAGTAAACATTCTTTCTTTCTCATATATAATGTTCTTAGGTGTATAAAGATTTTATGCATTTGAAAGCTACAAAAACAGAATCATCGAGACATATTATGACTGTTACACCTTTCCTTACTAAATACTCCATCTGTCCCATAAAATAGTTCTCACATTGACTTGTATCAGAGTTTAAGAAAGTGGGAATAACGTAGAAATGTATAGTCGAGTAAGAAAAAGGTAAATGAATGTGAGTCTCACAAAACTTTCCAAAATAGGAAATGAAAACTATTTTTTGGGACAACCCAAAAAGTAAACCGAGAACTATTTTGCGGAACGGAGGTAGTACTAATTTCCACTACTGTCGCATAAGAGGACGTCTTCAAGTTCTTTGCTGAAGTCACCCTCGACCCTCGTTGTCTTTGAGGAACTCAGCTGCTCATGTTTGTTTATGAAGTGTATTCTTCAGAAAGGAAATGACAACACAAATAGAAGTTTAAAAGAGAAGAAAGAATACATGTATATATGTAATGTATCGTATAGTTAGTTTACTTTATTTAATTAGTTATTCAATATATAAAAATAAGGGGGAATTTGACTTTACACCTCACATTTTGGGTGATATTGGACTTTGCACCTCATTTTGAAAAAACTTAGATTTTGCACCTCATCTAACTTAAAATTCATTTGACTTTGCACCCTATTTAGAAATTTTTCTTCACAAAAAGGTGTGTGTTAGGGTGCAAAGTCAAAGTTTTTTGAAAATGGAGTGCAAAGTCCAATATCACCCAAAAAGTGGGGTTCAAAGTCAAGTTCCCCCTAAAAACAATGATGATGATGATGATGATGATGATGACGATCATCATCATCATCATCATCTTCATCTTGATCTTCATCATCATCATCATCATAATCATAATCATGATCATAATCATGATCATAATCATGATCATAATCATAATCATAATCATAATCATAATCATAATCATAATCATAATCATAATCATAATCATAATCATAATCATAATCATAATCATAATCATAATCATAATCATAATCATAATCATAATCATAATCATAATCATAATCATAATCCTGATCCTAATCCTGATCCTGATTATGATCATGATCATGATCATGATCATGATCATCATCATCATCATAATAATAGTAACGGGTATTTACCTAAATAGGACTAAATCAATCTTTAATTGCCAAAATAGGACCAAAGTTTACAAATTCTCCAAATAAGACTTATTATTTGCAATTAGACAAAATTAACCCCAAGCTTGGAAGTCATACTCCCACAGACCACAACACTGGACCACAGCTATTCGCCGGTCTCCGCCATTCACCGCCGGTCGCCGCCGGTCGCCGCCGGTCGCTGGACATCGACGAAAACCTCAAAAATTGGCCGTCGTTGTAGATCTGCCAGCCGCCGTTGCAGATCTGGCGGGCGCCGCTGGAGATCTGGCCAAATTTAGCCTCCGCCGGCGTCGGCCGTTGTCCCTTCAGATCCAGCCACCATTGCAACTACTCCGACATCCGCCGTTACAAACCTGACCTCCACAGTTGCAGATCTACCCGTTTCCGACGTAAATGCCAACATTTTTATCATAATGCCATCTTAAAGGCATTTTCAAATAAAAATACAAAAAATTTTAAGATTAAAAATGCCATTTTGATGGCATTTTCAGATTTAAATTGGCAAATGTCATTTTGATGGCATTTTTAGAGTTTAACTTGGCATTTTGTAACAATCACAGATATGAAAATATGGCATTTCATTAATGAAATATTAATGGAAATTTTATCAAAATGGAGAAACGCAAAATAGAACTTAGGAGGAGGAAGAAGATGAACGGAAAAGAAGTAGAAAAAGAAGATCGAAATTTACCGTTGCTCGCCGTCCACCGTTGGTCGGAGATGAGGAGAAAAATCCATCGTTCCAGGGCCGGTCCTGTCCAATTTTGAGCCTACGGGCGATATACTATTTTGGCCTTATTTTCAAGACAAACAGAAAATTATAAAAATTACGGAGTATAATAAAACTATGAGAAATTACTCTGAATAGGACTATAAACGTGTATATATTCTAAACTAAGATTATTATATTTTTATTACTTAATAGAAGTATCTACTGCCATATTTTGACAGTATCATACTTTACACATGGTATTATTTTCCGAACAACCAACCATTTCAGCCCAGTTGGTTGTGAAGTTATCGTGTCAAGTAGGAGGTATCGAGTTCGAAACCTGCTAGGCACATAAGGGTTTGAAATTACTCCACCCCCTCCCAGACCCCCTTTGGAGTAAAAAAAAAGTAGTATTTTCTGAACATGATAGTAATTACTCGTATTCAGAAAATAATCGCATGACAATCCTTTTTTGAAATTCTAAAAAAAAATTACTCCTATTTAAGGAATTCTCCCTACAACTATCTAATAAAGGTTATAAAATAATGATGAAATTCACCTTCATAGTATTTGAAATACATATTCGGACAAAAGTAACAACACAAGTATTACAAAAAAAATTGTGAAATATAATCATCAATAATTACTTTATAATCCATCTTTTCCAAGATCACTTGTGCAATGTTTAAAATTGCTAATCCATTAAGTTTTTTGAGACGTAATAGATAATTGGGATGACGTTTGAGAATGGCAGGCACCGGCAGTCCAAATACAATAATATAAATTAGTAATTTTCTAATAAAAAGTCTTAAAGGCTAAAAAGATGTGAAAAACGTATTTTTATTGATTCAACAACAAATGTGTTGATCGACAACTAACTCTATTTAAAAATCAAAACTAAATTTACATCATTTTTTAAAAATTGTCTAGCTCCATTCAAGACTTTTTACTTATGTTTTAAAATTTTCAAATTTTCAACAAAAATTACACATTATGCCTATTTAAATAATTGAAATCATAAAAAAAGAAGTCTACTCAGATTTCATATTAAAAAAACAACTTGGGCCTAATTTTTTTCTACTTTTTTCGGGCCTAGGGCGATCGCCCCTGCTGCCCTCCCTCTAGGACCGGCCCTGCATCGTTCATATCACTGAAATTCGCTGGAGACAGAGAGACTTGAGATTGACAAGGGAAATCGAGGGGAAAAAATGAAAATCTAAGACTTTGGAATGAAAGATACGAGAGGGAGAGGAGAAAAGAGAGATGGTGCTCGTGGAGTGTGTTGTCTGTGATAACCAAGGAAGAAAGATAAGAATTAAACGGGTGTTGTCTGCGCCCAGGGAAGTTTAAGAGGCAGGGGTAAATAGGTAATCTAGTCTTATTTGGTGAATAAAAATATAGATAATCCTGTTTAGGAATTTCATGAATGATTTAGTCCCATTTGAAGCAAAAAAGTCTAATAGTAATGAAGGTTGTTTATTACTTAGATTTCTACTTTAATATGTTGTCTTAAGAAGTGATACATTTTTTCAGATATGTGAAAGTTTTGTAATATTTAGATCCAAGTAAATTTTAGATTAACACCCATAAATACCGAAAATTTTAAAAAGCACTCAACACGCTCGTTACCGAGCACGTAATCAATCTGGTCTGGCATCAGGATGCGTTTAAAATTAATTGGGTTTTGAGACCCAACCTTTTTAATGTCTCACACGATGATTTTAGTATAGAGGAGGAGGAGGAGGAGGAGGAGGAGGAGGAGGAGGAGAAGGAGAAGGAGAAGGAGAAGGAGAAGAAGAAGAAGAAGAAGAAGAAGAAGAAGAAGAAGAAGAAGAAGAACCTTAATGATAGCGGCGCACGGTTAAATCGACAGAAGCAGCGGCGTAAAAGAGAAGTCGATCGATCTAGTGCGCAAGGTGAAGTCGGCAGCAGCAGCGATGGTTAGGGTGAAGTCGATCGATGAGCGCATGGAAGAAAGGGAAAGATGTGCGCAGGAAGAAGGGGGAATGGGGAAGCGATTGTGCGCATAGGAAGCGTAAAAGGGACAAGGGGGTAATAATTGAATGAAAAATAAGGATGTTTCCAAAAAGGAGTAAAATAGTCCTATTTAGGGAAAAAATCATGGTGCCATTTGAGATTTTCTCTCCTCTTTTAGTCCTATATGGGGCAATTACTTTATATTAAAAATCGATCCGGTTCAATTTAAACCAATTTTAAAATGCAAAAACCCATCTATAAACCGATTCATGATCGAGTCCCGACTTTCGGATCCCGTTAAAGTCGGTTCGGTTTCGGTTCGGTTTTTTTATTGCTCGGTTCGTTTTTTTTTTGTTCGACTTTCGGTTTAAAATGCCAACCCTAGACTGAGTAGTGATGGTGTGGTACGCTATTTATCAAAATTAAAGTGTGAAAATTCTTTCCCATATCTAATGTTTTTAGGTATATCAAGATTATTTGCCGACATGCATTTGGTAACTACAAGAAACAGAATCATAGACAAATTCTATGATTGTTACACCTTTCCTTAATAACATGCTAATTCTCACGCGTATGTTCAATTAAGAGGACGTCTTCAAGTTCTTTGCCGAAGTCATCTTCATTGTCTTCAAGGAACTCAACTGCTCCCAGGCATGGGGAATCGGAGGTAGGCCGATATCCTGTTTGTTTATAAAGCTTATTCTTCTGTGCATTCCAATCTGCAGCACTCCGCTCCAGTGTTTCTCCAATCAATGTCCTATCTTCAGCTATGTGCTTCATGTTATCAACATCTACTGTTTTGCTAGCCTCTTCAAAAGAAAATGACAACAGAAAATAGAAGTTTAAAAGAGAAGGATGAATACATGTATATACACCGTATGTACTTTCAGAGAGCCCTTTTGGTAATGCTTAGATCGGCCAAATTTGCAGACATTTCTAAAATTGTAACTTAAACGGTTGAATTGGGTGAATCTGCATAATTATGAAAAATCATACTCCGTATATATTTAATACTACGTATATATTTTAACAACAAAAAAAATGAAAAATATTATTGGAAAAATGCTTAAATAACCATCTTCACCATCTTAAACCAATTCACTTAGAAAAGTACTTCAACATTACTTAAGGAGTGTTTGCAGGAAATAAAAAAACACTTCAGCTTTTGGCTTTAAAAAAGCTGAAATTGGTGTTTTGAAGTGAGAGCTTCTGCTTAAATTAATCACTTAAAAGTTAAACGCTGGAAGCAGGTTGAGAGGTGCTTTAAACTGCTTTTCACTTTTTCTATTACACAAAAAGCGATTATTTTATCAAACACTACCAACATTTAGTTTTTCGTAATCAGTTATTTCTCAAACACTATCAACTTTTACTATTAAGCACGTTTCCCAAAATCACTTTATTAATCACCTTTTTTTAAGTAGAAGCAATCGCAAACACTCCCTTATATTGATTGTTGCCATGTCTGCTGCGTGTAATCTAGGGTTCAATGTCTGGCAAAAAAGATACCTACTAAAGTTGATAAGCCGAAAAAACAAGTTTACCAAACAAGGTTTTATTGTTACAAAAATAGGAATTAATTTTGAAATAGAAAAGAGTAACTAGAAAATCTGCAGGTTTTTCATGATTAAGCGGAGTCTCGGAAGAGAATTAACTATCCGATTTACTTATTTCTCGCATAGTTTAAAGGAGAAAAACAATACTGGTTGGTTATAAATAGGGAACTGGAAAAGACAGTAGGCATGTCTGCAAAAAAATAATTTAATCACAATTAGCCTCATTTATTTATAATTTTATACTCCTGACATGGGTTCAATTCAAAATCATTATTTCTACCACATAAAATGTCAAACATTCGAAACAAGGAATACAAATCTATCCATAGTTCTAAATTTCTAATCACTTCAAATATCAATATTCAAACTTAATAACGTGAACACTTATAGAATAAAAAAATGATTCCATTCAACCTCGTGTACTATAACTTACGGACTGTTACTTAAATTTTCCTCGATTAAATTTAAATTCCTTTGTGGCTAAATGTCATTGATTGTGTTATTGTTGTTGTTGAAGATACTTGATATAATGATGATTACGGCGGCTACTACTACTATTTGTTTAAAATAATGGTTCCTTAATAGTTCTATGAACATATTTTTAAAGAGAACCGCAAACCATATCATTAACATTGAATAGGAACTGAGGTTGTTTTTATTTGGACTGTAATTTGTCCCAGACCAGACTAAAACAGACCAGACCAGACCATATTTTATTATTTTTATTGTTATTATTATTATTAGTATTATTATTGTTATTACTGTTAGTTGGGGCTTTGGAGTTTGGGCTTTATTGTTAATCAATAATTAAATTAGTTTCCTAAAATTAAGCAATTAATAACTCATACGTAGGAACTGAACCGAATTATAACGGTTCAATTCCAACTGGTTTTTCTGTTACCGATTACAGAATCCCATGTAAAAATTTATTTACTTTGTAAACGGAAATTGTTGTAAAACTACCTTCGAGGGCTTGTTTCTTGGCCATTGCGTATTCAGTTGATATTCTCTTGATCAAATCCACATCAAGTTCCACTCCCTGGAGCATATAAAATAACAGTCTAAAACCAACATGGGCACTAACTCCAAATAGGTTAAAACTTAAAAATGAATTCATTGATAAATGACCCTGAAATTTTTCCTTCAAGTGGCCTAACCACATCATCATCATTCATCATCATTACCCCAGTGCTGGGGTAAGGGGGGGTCGGATGTACACAATCTTACCCCTGTACTAAAGCACAAAGAGACTGTTTCCGAATGACCCATAGTGAAAATCGCGTCGAAAAATACATGGACTGACTACTGCTTCACAATAAAGAAGCGCAGATAGTTTAGTGAGACATTTTGCTTTATTCCATCATATTCTCAAGCCAAAAAATAGTGAATCTTTGGCTCCATTGCAAATAATGGAAATAAAGTGGCCTAACCACATAACTCACAAAAATCAAATGAAAGTGTTATTCCAATCCTAGAGAGATACTTAAGTTTGAGGTTACTTTTTGATTGAAAACATCACATACATTTTAGTGTAACATGTTTTTTTTTAATTTCCAGAATATGAGCAATCATCATATTCTGGTCACGAGTTGTGGAGAAATGTTATCACTTCCATAATTATATACTCCCTCCGAATTTTAATATTCACTACATTAGGTTAGGCACATTATTTAAGGAGTAAAGTAGTAAGGGTGGTGAATAGTGTAGAAAAAGTAAGAGAGTGTGTAAAAGTATGAAAGAGAAGATAAAACGTAGATAAAGCAAGGATAATTGAGTATTTTATAAAGGGTAAACTTACCAAAAATGGAAGTGTAGGGAGCTTTTAAATACAGCCCAAAAAGGAAAGTGTATGGAACTTTTAAATACGGAGGGAGTATAATGTGGTGAAGCAACTTCCAAGGATAGACTTAAGCAAAATAAACTAATGGTACACAACTTTTACTCTTCCAACAACACTAAGGAATAGTTCAGTAAGGTGATACGAAATGTATGTTTTAATATAAATTTAGAGTAAAAAAGGTATTGCAAATACATTCCTTTACATCTATATTGCCTAATAAGTGTACCTTTATTCAATTTATCCATCTAAAGCATTCTTTGATATACTTAAGCAACCTACCTATTTGGAAATGAACATAAAAAGAAACATTACATAAATTGTCAGACCAGGAATTGCAAAGCTTACCATATCCAAATGGGTGAAAAGATCAACCTCTGTGTTTGCAAACAGCCTATTCACATAAATGGTTATGGACAATTATTGGCCAGTTGCAGATAAGAAACAACAAAAGAAAAGGAAAAGGGTAAGACAAACAAAACTGAATCCAATACATTTTGTATGCTGTTCGGACTTTGGAATTCTGGATTTCTGTAAGTTCATTTATTCTTTCCATTATAGAGCCTTCATTTATATCCACAGCCCCGATGAGGAAAATGTTCCTATCCAACAGACTTTTGACTAAAGCACAGACAACTCCAATACATTTGGCTTTTGCATCAGCAACAAGGGTTCGAACCCTCTTCAATTCCCCTATCAAGTTGGCACACACAATCACATCAACAATGATAACATCTCTTCAATAAAAATGACATTTTAAGTAGTTACAAACTTACAAATAAACTCATTCCATTTAAAAACTTTAGATATATTGGACCAAATAAGATCACAAGATGCTAAGCAATGGTAGTGAATACACTGTGATGATGGTTAGGACAAGTAGTTTAGTTAGAGACTTAGAGTCATAGAGGAGTAACATATACCTTGGTGGGTAGAAAGGTAAGTAGAATAAAATGATGATTGCCATGAAGACCGTGGTATTGGTGGAGTGGTGGAGATAAATTGGTGAATACAACTGTTTGAGATGACTAGGTGGTAATGGTCCGATGGGTATCATGGGGTTGGTGGAGAAGATACAGAAAAATAGGCTTAGTGGAAGTATGAAGGTCATAATAAAGATCTTTACATGTGGGCATGTGGTGAGGCGGGAGGAATTTTAGAACACAATGATAAGCATCTTTGGAAATGGTTAGTTAGGTTGGAAAACTCGAGAAGTCTCTATGTTTCCATTTGTTTGCTTCCAAATAAAAAATGGTACGCTTTACCAGAAAAAACTGGTAACTGGGAATTTGAGGATTACTAAACAGGACCTTGGCTTTGTGAGTCAGAAGACAATCAAACATACTGTTATAATACCATGTACCTCCATCATATATATAAAACAAAAATTCAATAATACATACCAAGAGACAAGTATATCTTGAAAGGAGGGCGGAACGGTTGAGTCTCAAAAAGGCAATATAAGCAATACAGGCCGCCCAGTCTATGTGATAAAGATCGAGTAGACACAGCATATCCTATAATAACCCAAAATAGACAAATGAAAATGTGATTACAACACATAAACAATGTTGTCTAGGGAGCATCAAGTATGAGGATGACAATGCAGATTAAAGTTTAAACTGTCAGGAGTCAATATAATATGAAAAGAAAGATCCACGACTACACAATTTAACACCTATGTAGCTCATTCATGTTGACAGTCCCTTCGCTCCAGCAGTTCAGAGTTTACAATGTCAATCAGGTCAGTGTGCATACTTCTATAAGAGTTAGTGAGTTACTTTATGAATAGAATAACAGCAAACATGTTTTCTCAAGGCTATTTATGATGAAAGAGAATAACAATGATAGACACCAAGTACTTGGTGAATGCTATGGCAACAAATCTGGATTTATAATTTTCATAAAAGCATCTAAGGCCCGGATGGAACACCAAACGCTGAGTTCAATTCAAATGTGTTCAGAAATTTGACAGAGAAAGCCATTAGTCTTGCAGAAACAAAAAAAAAGAATAGTTGTGACCTCTATTAATTAGTAAATGTATATACTTCTAAATGGAAAAAAATAGCATGTTCTGACTTCTCGCACCTTTCTGAAAATACATGTCTGTGTGTGTAATGAAAACAAACCATTTGTCCAACTTAATCTTCGCACTAAATCAATGGAAGCCCATAAGACATATCAGAGTATGATTTATGGTATTGAAAACCGCTTAAGGGTAAAAACTGGTTAAAAAGAAGTAAAGTTGATAACTTTGAATGAAAAATGTTAAGAAAGTGCATACCAATGGAATAAGCAAAGAGTGATTGCATAAAGCAGGCCTGATTTGTGGAAGGACTTGCCTCAAATATATAGGAGAACTTTTTGGAAAGCCAAACTCTCTTCATTTCCGCAAAAGAAGTTGATCCACCCTGCTAGTAACAAATAGGCATAAAATGCAAAAAAGAGAAGGATACAAGTCATATAACATTTAACACCTTTATAGTTTATGAATGAGGATCACATAAGTGCCGAGTAGTACATACCTCAGCGAATTCACTTATAAGATCATCTATGTCTAATTTAAATGGTGTTAGATCCATTGCAGTAAACAGTAACGACCCCTCTAGAAACCCTGAAGCTAAGGCAGAGGAAATTGGAAATGACAACACAAATAAAAGGATGAACTTGGTCTGTTTGAGCCGAAATTCGTGTGCGGCAGAATTTGTCGCCGCTATTGGCAGGTGGCTTCCTCTGCTAGTCCGTTATAGGCTTCTGTCGGCTGAGACGAGAAAACGAACTGTCCCTTCGTCACTTCGTGCGGCTGGTGGAAGGCGAGGAATGCAGAGCGCTTTTACGCTTTGTTGGCTGTATTCTGTCGATTTGAATGGGGAAAACGCAGCCAAAAGCCTGCCTGATCGGCGGTAATCAAGGAGACCAATTTTGCCTTCTGTTTGGACTTCGGCCTAATAACCAAAGGGAAACTTTTAATTACACCCCATTTGAAAATCATCCATTAAATCAGCCAAGTTTCCAAAATCAATCAATTAGGCTACATTCCCGATTGGTTCCCGTTTTGCCCGTTGTCAAACCCTCAATTGAGACCTCGTACTTTGAAAACCTTCAATTAAATCCGCCAAGTTTCCAAAATCAATCAATTAGGGTTACATCGCTGGCTGGTTCCCGGTTTGCCCGTTGCTTTCCTTCCTGGCACTGATGTGGAATTTGCCTATCGGTCTTTCAGTTCTGACTCAGTTAAAAGACTCAGTTAAATCATTAAATTTACCCTATCCACCCCCAATTAACATCACTGTGCCCTAACCTTCCTTCCCGACCTTACACCGTACATCGTTTTTCTTCCCGTTGGAAAGCTTGACCTCGTGACCAACAATGGCCTCTTCGTCTACAGCAACGAGTACAAAAGAGCGAAGAAGCACTACAAATTACGAGCCTCCAGTGTACTGTTGGTGTGGATTGAAAGCACCGTTGTGCATGGGAAGGAAGAGTAGAAGACAATTATATGGGTGTCAAAATTGGCTGGTAAAACGTCGAAAGAATTTACATTTTTTTCATTTGATGTGCATATATAATAATGTAGGTTGTGCAGGTTATGTTTTGACCAAATCTTGTATTGGTAGTGATTTTGAGTTTGAAGAACCTGTTCGTGTGATAATAGGTATCATTTTCCCAGTTTTTGTAATTGAAAATATGTGTTCGTATTGTCTACGAGGAGAAGGGTGTGGCTACTTCTTGTGGAAGGGTGACATAGGAAGAGAAGACATGATCAGGCCTGGGCAGGAGAGAGATAAGTTTGATGAAGTAAAGACCATGGTTGAAGGTGATGTCAAATGCTTAAGCCATGTTCAAGCAGATGTAACCAGTATAAAAACCGTTCTTGAGAATGAGGTTAAGTCCAGAAAGAGGTGCAGGAAGCTCGGTGTCATAGGGTTGGCTGTATTTCTGTGCTTTGCAGCAAATATGTATTCAAGCTATCATAGTTGAATTGTGTTGGGTGTAATGGTATCTATGTTTGAAAAAGTTCACCACCAGTTTCTTGTCATAGAAAGTGGAATGTAGTGTCATATGGTATCTATGTTTGAACAAGTTCACCACAAGTTTTCATTTTAGGTACTTTTGTATTGTCAAGAACCTGGATTCCTGGAATGTATTCATTGTGTATGTTGTGTGGCATTTCAATACATAATTTGATAAAGTACAAATACTTGGGGCGGTGTTACAAGTTCTACCCCCTTATTTGGGATTTCGTCCCCGAAATCCACGCGTCTAGTCAAACAGAAATGGATATTGTTCCCTCATCAGGGTCTCCACATCCCAAGTTTGCTCCTCGACACGATCACTCTTCCAAAGTACTTTTACCATCGGTACCTCTTTGCTCCTTATCTTCTTTACCTGTCGGTCTATGATCTTTACCGGCTGCACCGTATAGTGTAGGTCTTCTCGGATTTCCACCGGTGGTTTCTCAAGAATATGTGACGGGTCCCGCACATACTTCTTGAGCATAGAAACATGAAACACATTGTGAATCTTCTCCAACTCTGGGGTCAACTGAAGTCGGTAGGCTACAACCCCGATCCTTTCAAGGATTTTGAACGGACCTATGTAACGTGGGTTAAGCTTACCCTGACTGAGGAACCTGATGATCCCTTTCCAAGGTGATACCCTCAGAAATACCTTGTCACCGACCTCAAACTCCAACATCCTCCGACGTTTATCGGCATAGCTCTTCTGCCGGTCTTGGGCAGCCTTGAGCCTATCCTGTATGACTTTTATCTTCTCTTTAGTGATCTCGACTAGCTCGGTGCCCTCGAGCTTAGCCTCACCGACCTCGTCCCAACACAATGGTGTCCGACATTTCCTCCCGTACAATGCTTCGTATGGAGGCATGCCTATACTCGCCTGATAACTGTTGTTATAGGAGAATTCCACCAAAGCCAACTGATTGTCCCAACTTCCCTGGAACTCCAAAGCACATGCTCTCAACATGTCTTCCAAAATCTGAATCACACGTTCGGACTGCCCATCCGTTTGAGGATGAAATGCGGTGCTAAACCTCAACTTCGTACCCATGGATTCCTGGAACTTAGGCCAAAACCGTGATGTGAACCGTGGGTCTCTATCCGATACTATAGTAACTGGAACCCCATGCAGTCTCACAATCTCGTTTGTGTACAATTTGGCCAGTCGCTCGAGCGTATAGGTAGTGTTGATAGGTAGAAAATGATCACTCTTGGTCAGCCTATCAACCACCACCCATACTGCGTCGTAGTTCCTAACCGTCCGTGGCAGACCCACCACGAAGTCCATGGTAACATGCTCCCACTTCCATTCTGGAATGGTAAGTGGTTGTAGTAACCCTGCTGGGTGTTGGTGCTCTACCTTAACCTGTTGACAGGTAAGGCAACGGCTCACGTATTCTGCAATCTCTCTCTTCATCTCCGACCACCAGTAACTTTCATTCAAGTCCCGGTACATCTTTGTATCGCCCGGGTGCATGGCATACACAGATGAGTGAGTCTCCTCAAGGATAGATTTTCAGAGCTCCTCATCCGATGGCACACACACTCGTTCCTTGAATAGTAGAAGTCCATCTTCTCTCTCACGGAAACCCTCGACGGGCCCCACAAGCATCCGTTCCCGGATTTTCTGAAATTCCTTGTCATTGCCTTGACATGTTCTGATTTCATCTAATAAGGTGGGTCTCACCTCAAATCTGGCCAATAACGCCCCATCCGTGGATACCTCCACGCGTGCCCTCAATGCCCGTAAGCATGTTAGTAAAATCCCCCATGATGAGCTCTTCCTACTCAATGCATCTGCTACTACATTAGCCTTGCCTGGATGATAGTCAATGATCAAGTTGTAATCCTTGATCAACTCCATCCATCTTTTCTGTCTCATGTTCAACTCTTTCTGAGTGAACACATACTTCAAGCTCTTGTGGTCAGTATAAATGTGACACAACTCTCCGTAGAGGTAGTGCTTCCAAATCTTTAATGCAAACACCACAACACCTAGCTCCAGATCATGTGTGGGGTAGTTTACTTCATGCTTTCTCAACTGCCGAGAGGCATAAGCATATACCTTCCCCGATTGCATCAGTACACATCCCAGTCCCTGAATGCTAGCATCACTGTAGATGTCATACCCTAACCCTTGCACGGGTAGGGCAAGCACTGGTGCTTCGGTCAAACGTTTCTTTAGCTCAAGAAACCTCTTCTCACACTTGTCATCCCGCACAAACTTAGCCCCCTTTTTAGTGAGCTTCGTGAGTGGAGATGCTATCACCGAGAACTTTTCCACAAATTTGCGGTAATACCCCGCTAAACCGAGAAAACTCCTTATTTCCTTCACATTCTTGGGCCTCTCCCAATTAGTGACTGCTTCAATCTTCGAGTTATCAACTGAAATGCCCGAGCCCGATACCACATGCCCGAGAAAACCGATCTCTCCAAGCCAAAATTCACATTTAGAGAATTTGGCAAAGAGTTGCTTCTCCCGCAGTGTTTTAAGCACAAGCCTTAGATGTTTCTCGTGTTCTTCCTCATTCATGGAGTATATAAAAATGTCATCTATGAACACTATAACGAACTAGTCCAAGTATTGGTGAAATACTCGGTTCATGAGGTCCATGAATGCCGCGGGGGCGTTCGTAAGCCCAAACGACATTACTAGAAACTTATAGTGACCATACCTTGTACGGAATGCACTTTTGGGTATGTCACTCTCCTTGATCTTGAATTGATGGTAGCCTGACCTCAAGTCGATCTTAGAGAACACGGTTGCCCCCTGTAGTTGATCAAACAAGTCATTGATCCTTGGCAAAGGATATTTGTTCTTTATCATGACATTGTTCAACTGACGGTAATCGATACACATTCTAAGTGTACCGTCTTTTTTCTTTACAAAGAGTACCAGTGCTCCCCATGGTGAATGACTCGGCCTAATGAATCCGCTGTCCAGTAATTCTTCTAATTGAACCTTCAACCCTTGAAGTTCAGCCGGTGCCATCCGATATGGAGGAATCGAGATGGGTTTTGTACCGGGTTTTACTTCAATGGTGAACTCAATTTCTCGATCTGGTGGGAGTCCCGGGAGTTCTTCAGGGGAAACTTTTGGGTACTCACTCACCACTCTCACCTTATTGAGACTCTCTCCCTTGCCTTCCTTGCCTATGACATAGGCCAATTATGCTTGACACCCTTTCCTCATCATACGCCTTGCTCTTATGGCTGATATGATACAAGGATTGAATTTCCCTCTATCTCCCTCGAAGCATCGAGTATTTCCTTCCCCATCTTTTAGTTCTAACACCTTGGTGTAGCAATCTACTTTCGCATGGTGTTTTTCGAGCCAATCCATGCCAAGTATAGCATCAAACTCGAGCATATCTAACGGCACAAAGTCATCCGTTAGACAGTGCTCCCCTATCCCTACATTACACGAGGGGTAGTAGTGTTTCCGCTCTACATCATCTCCCAATGGTGTAGAGACCAACAAAGGTTGCGTCATTGCTACCAAAGGCATGCCCAAACCCTTGGCAAACGCTTCGCTCACAAATGAACGTTGTGCTCCAGTATCGATGAGAATTCTCGCGTCCCTATCATTGATCTTTAGCATTACTACATATGTAAGTCATGTAAGGCACACTACCCAACATCCCGACTGTAAAGGATTAAATGAAAAAATCTCAGCCTGGAACTGCCCTATACCCGGTCGGGTAGGGTCCTCTACCCGGTCAAGTATCACTCGAGTCCTTAAGGAAAAAACCTTATGTTTTCCTTGCTCGGTCGAGTATCGGCCTTGAACCTGAACAATTTATCTATACCTGGTCGGGTATATTCCCATACCCGGTCGGGTATGGCTAGAAACATCACAACGTTCTTCTCTGAATGTTCGATCGGGCACACGCTTCAAACTCAAGCAAAATGTCGATACCCGGTCAGGTATATGCCTATACCCGGTCG